AGGTGAGACTGATCTAATATATAGAAGCGCATTGGCGCAAACCACCTAAGGAGTGTATACGTAGGAATTGATTAGGTGCATTCTGCAAAAGATTCTCTGGACAGGAGAATCAATAAATTTAATATTCCGTAATTTACCGACCCTCCTCGGTGCCCCAAATTTACATCAAAAGCATTCCGTCACAAGCACTGGCCTAACGCACCAGTTAACCCTTTTGAGGCAAATTTTTTATATCATTAAAGTTATAGTTCTGGGTTATCTATAGTAGAAATACCTGCTTTGGTATCAGGGTGACATCGGGCCGCACTGGCACAACCATCAGAATTTTTTCACCTAATCGCGGACAATCCATCTCGTGACTGATTCAGTGCTTTAAGGAATGCTTATAGTTATGTCCTCAATAGGGTTAACTGGAGCTTTGGTATCAGGGGGTGACACCGGGCCGTACTGGCACAAGCATCAGAACCCACGCCGACAATCTAACTCGTGACTGACTGAGTGCTTGAAGGAATGCTCATAGTTATAGAATATCTTTAAGAATGAAAATTTGATTCATAAGTTTGGGTGGACAAAACGTGAGGTCAAATATTTGGGCACCGCTGATAACCCCAAAATACACTTAACCCTTTTAAAACCAGTCAACTTAGTTCGTTTACAAGGTGTTTTAATTCACACTTGACTCTAAAAATCAGACATGACAGTGCATCTAGGTGCATTTTTAGTGCGAGTTTGGAATGCTTTTGGTCACTTTAAAAGCGACATCCCCGTTAAATGCAGAAGTTCAACTTGGTTTTTGATTGAGTGTGTTGGGGCGAAAAGGGGTTTGGGGTTCCTATTTTGGAGGTTCATTGAAAATGATTCTTACTAGGCCTACTTAGTAGCCTGGTATGGTTGAATGCTTTCGGTTAATGCAAGGGAGGGAACTCCCTACTATACTTGATTAAATTTCAGACCACATTAAATCATTATTCTAATTCTTTTCCAAAAAAATGGGAAAAAAATTGGTCAAGAACCGTTATTTGTTAAACGTTGGCTATACGTTTCTACCATGATTTAATCTTGAATTGTTCAGCGACCATTTTTCAATAAAATCACAAACTTTTAATGAATTCTTATTGTATTTGACAACAGCTATCAGGGGAATTTTGAAAAAAAAATTCCTTCCAAAACTGTTATTTGTTATATGTTGGCTATACGACCTATCTGTACAAGAATCAAGCGACAGTAGCATGGAAAGGTCAAGATGCCCCGAAATAGTGGGCATACCCAGAGTTGTAAGCGATAAAGTGCATGCACATTTTAAAATGTCTGAAAAGCGGATATTTGGAAACAAAACGCGTTAAATGTTCTCATTGGAACAATGGAAGCAATATTTGTGGTCTGTATCCATTTAACCGGAAATTGAAATTCAAAATGGCGGCAAACAAGGTAAATAAATCGCTTACATTGCGAAAATTGTAAATATTTTATAAAATACATGAAAAATGATGATGAAAATATGTTAAATCACAATCAGGGAGTTCAATACTTTGATACTGAGTCGCAATTTGAAATGACACGAATATTTAGCGAGATATCCGACAAGATGTACAATAAAACGTGTAAAGGGACATAACTCTTCACTTTAAAGGAGACTACAAATAACACGTAAATTTCTGCTAATGCAGTGTCATCGTTTATAGACCATAATTTCTTAAAATAGTCGACCCGGCTGTAATGAATCCTTTTAAAATCAATGCCAAGAGGTTTTGTCATGGACTGTTACAAGGACTAGCTGGTAGAAAGGATCCTCATTATTCCAGTCAACCAAGCTATAAATAGGTACAGATAATCCAGGAAAGATCAATGCCAAGAGGTTTGGTCAAGGACCAGTTGGTAGAAAGGATCCTCGAGAAACTTAACAAATTATCCTTCTTTCTATTTTCAGGAAGCCATTGCTCTAGTTGTTGATGTTAATGATTGTATGACTGATGCTCCAGGAGGTCAGACGTCAGCTTTACAACATGCCCTGGACGCCATTACACTTATTCTACAGAGAAAGGTACGTTCTGTTCTGTCTGTCTATTTCCATTGGAAGTGCCACATGAAAACAAAGTACTACAATACCTGCAATTCCATTAAAACAGGAGTTTTCAACCTTTTTCTTTCTATTACCCCCTTTAGAATCCTGATCAATTGAAATACCACCCTTTTCGGGCAGGGTGAAATGATCGTCGCTAGGAGTTTTTAATTTTCGATTATTGATTACCAAATTCCATAATCGATTATATGTCAAAGTTACATTTTCTCCACTGTACCTGTTAACAAGTAGTAATCTCTTCTACATAGTTTCCCTTCAACACATAACATACCCACAATAAACTATAATAACTGATCAAAACAAGAATATACTTCTATGATACAAAAATAACCCATGAAATTAAGAATTTTGTCATGTTTTTAATTTAGTATTTACAGGGTTTCGCTTCAGCACATAACATACCCACAATAAACTATAATAACTGATCAAAACAAGAATATACTTCTATAACACAAAAATAACCCATGAAATTAAGAATTTAGTTACAAATTTGAAAACCCTGGTGCTAAGAGCCTTATGTGATAAAGCATATTTTGCGATTAGTAACGTCATCCAACGCTTGGTTTTAGTTGAATTGCAGAAACCACAGACATCTGATTGAAAATTGGAATGGTGCAAATTGATGCAATCAGTGTTCCTGATACACATAAAAAATTTAGAAAACATTTTAACAATATCTTTAAGTGAGTATAATCAAAATTCCTGCAAATTTCTGTTTTTGTTTTTCAGATGTTTTCCGAGTCGAAGGATGAAGTAGCGTTGATATTATTTGGTACAGATAGGACAGATAATCCTCTACACGATGGTGACAACTATAAAAATATCGTCATTCAGCGTCCATTGGGAGTTCCTGATTTTGACCTGTTTGAGATGGTCAGTGAGTCGGTCCAAGCGTCACCAGAGTCAGGAGACTGTATCCTTTCTGTAAGGCATTTGGTGCCAAATTGTCTGCAACTCATAAGAACAGTGGCAGCACCAGCCTCCTGAGACTAGGGGTACAAATAGGGAGCAGACTAGCCTTGACAAGAGGGCAGGGGGGCTAGGGCTGGGTAAAATGATCGAAATAATCGATTGTCGTCGCTAGGTTTTTATAATTTTGATTATTGATTATCAAATTTCATAATTGATTATATGTCAAAGTTACATTTTCTCCATTGTACCTGTTAACAAGTAGTAATCTCTTCTACATAGTTTCCCTTCAACACATAACATACCCACAATAAACTATAATAACTGATCAAAACAAGAATATACTTCTATAACACATAATATACCCACAATAAACTATAATAACAGATCAAAACAAGAATATACTTCTATGACACAAATAACCCATGAAATTAAGAATTTTGTCATGTTTTTAATTTAGTATTTACAGGGTTTCTCTTCAGCACATAACATACCCACAATAAACTATAATAACTGATCAAAACAAGAATATACTTCTATAACACAAAAATAACCCATGAAATTAAGAATTTTGTCATGTTTTTAATTTAGTATTTACAGGGTTTCTCTTCAACACATAACATACCCACAATAAACTATAATAACTGATCAAAACAAGAATATACTTCTATGATACAAAAATAACCCATGAAATTAAGAATTCTGTCATGTTTTTAATTTAGTATTTACAGGGTTTCTCTTCAGCACATAACTTACCCACAATAAACTATAATAACTGATCAAAACAAGAATATACTTCTATAATACAAAAATAACCCATGAAATTAAGAATTTTGTCATGTTTTTAATTTAGTATTTACAGGGTTTCTCTTTAGCACATAACATACCCACAATAAACTATAATAACTGATCAAAACAAGAATATACTTCTATGACACAAAAATAACCCATGAAATTAAGAATTCTGACATGTTTTTAATTTAATATTTACAGGGTTTCTCAATTAAATTATTTTGATTATTAATCGTTTAGGCTATCGATCGATAATCAATCTGAATTTGGTAATCGATGCCCAGCCCTAGGGGGAGCACTTCATTTTTCCCTGTACCCTGTCTGCCATTCTTTACAGTGAAATGTGGCAGAGTGCTACCAGATCTTTTGGGAGGTTGTTTCATTTGAGGGGTCTTTGAGCTGGTACCTCCTTTTTTTTGGGTGTCAACTTTTACCTTTCTTCTTTAACTATACCCAAGTCATTGATGCTATGATAGTTGCCATGGACCATCTCGTACAAGCCACACAGTAAGTTACTTGCTTTATGAAGAGGTTTTCTGGCTAATAGACATCTGTGTTTCCTGTAATTCCACTAAAACTAAGCGTTTGATGACATCACTCGCAAAATCAGCCCCTTTGTGTTAGTGGAAATGCAGGAACCATAACACATGATTGAAAATTGGAATGGTGCGAATTGATCAATGTTTAGTAAACCTCTTTACAATTCCTTTAAATGTTCTATTTTTCAAATGTTCTATTTTTCAAATGTTCTATTTTTCAAATGTTCTATTTTGAATTGTTCTATTTTCAAATGTTCTATTTTTCAAATGTTCTATTTTTCAAATGTTCTATTTTTCAAATGTTCTATTTTGAATTGTTCTATTTTCAAATGTTCTATTTTTCAAATGTTCTATTTTTCAAATGTTCTATTTTTCAAATGTTCTATTTTGAATTGTTCTATTTTTCAAATGTTCTATTTTCAAATGTTCTATTTTTCAAATGTTCTATTTTTCAAATGTTCTATTTTGAATTGTTCTATTTTTAAATGTTCTATTTTTCAAATGTTCTATTTTGAATTGTTCTATTTTTGAATGTTCCATTTTTCAAATGTTCTATTTTCAAATGTTCTATTTTTCAAATGTTCTATTTTCAAATGTTCTATTTTGAATTGTTCTATTTTCAAATGTTCTATTTTTCAAATGTTCTATTTTTAAATGTTCTATTTTCAAATGTTCTATTTTTCAGGGGTAAAAAAGGATTTGCTACCAAGAGGTTGATTCTGTTTTCAAATTTCTCTCAGCCGTTCACGGATGACCAAGTGGACACTATTATTGATGGAATCAAAAATTCGGGCACAGAATTAAATGTAATGTAAGTACTCACTGATCAGGAGAGAACTTTTATAGCTAGTTATATTTATAGTAAAGCATATCATCTAGGCATCACTTTCGGAGAGTGCACATAGCTAGTTATATTTATAGCAAAGCATATCATCTAGGCATCACTTTCGGAGAGTACACATAGCTAGTTATATTTATAGCAAAGCATATCATCTATGTATCAGTTTCGGAGAGTGCACATAGCTAGTTATTTTATAGTAGAGCATAAGATCTAGGTATCACTTTCGGAGAGTGCACATAGCTAGGTATGTTTAGTGCAGAGCATAACATCTAGGCATCACTTTCAGAGAGTCTATATAGCTAGGTATGTTTATAGCATACTTTGGAGGGTACACATAGCTAGAGATGTTTAATATTTTCCAGAGGTCCACAGTTAAACGAAGAAGATGACGATGACGATACTGATGAACCTACGATAGATAATAACTTTGGGAAGGAGAAATCACCCCAGATGAGAGCAGGGGAGGCCATGATTAAACATATACTCAGTGAGGTTAATGGAGACAGCTACAGTTTTTTGTGAGTTAGTCTTCAGCAGGGTGTAAAACTCCATTTCATTTCAATAAGATCAATAATGCTGTGGTCACAGGAACTGTCTTGGTCACTGATTTTTGTCGCTGACTAGAGTCTTGTCAAGAGTTTCAACGACTGGCTCAGGCACATGTGGAAATGAAATGAAATGAATGGAGTTTTACGTCCTACTTTTCTGCACCTTGTGGGCTAATGAAGACGGGCGACACCATGCAGGGTGCCATGAGGGAAATTTTGCCAGGACAGCGGTATTAGCCTGCTCTTTTGTCAATTTCCAACTGTCGAGGGATCTTTAACGTGCACAGCCTGTAGCACACGGGGCCTCGGTTTATTGTCCCATCCGAACGACTAGACACTTTTTCCATGTCAGCCCCTCTTACCTGCATCACTGACAGGGGGAAACTGGGTTGAAAAATCCAAAGGTATTATCTCGACCTATGCCGGGATTGAACCCTGGATCTTCAGGTTAGCGAGCAAGCGTCTAACTCACTGAGCCACCGCGGCTCCAGGCACATGAGGAGACAGTTGATCATTTTCCACTATGTTGATAATCACAAGCAGAGCATGCAATTGAAAGGAAAATGAATCTGATTGGACAATAATTATGTCGTGGAAGATAGGCACACGTGAGATTTTGCTCTTTTCTTTAATTTTATTTTATTTTTTTCAATCCAGGGAAGCACTACCAGCTCTGAGTTACTTTCAAGCCAGACAAGTTCGACAAACTGCCTGGAAGGTTCAAATGGAAATAGGTACAGACTTGAAGATACCAGTGTGCGGTTACACCAAGGTAATCGTTTATTTTGTTAGCCATTTCAGTTAGGGTCTAACGACAGCCGTCTTGAACGTTCGTCAAATTAACCTTTTGACCTAACTTGTTGACATTGCTTTGGACAATCAAATTTCTACCCTCTCCAGCACTGGCATTTTGTGACGCAGTGTTTGTCAGGTTAGGTCAAAAGGTTAATTTGATGAATGTTCAAGAGGGCTGTCGTTAGACCCTAACTGAAGTGGCTATATTAAAAATAAAAGCTAATAAAAAAACGCATCGAAAGTTTAGCTTATTTAAATTAGACTGCACAACGTTATGATATCATTAAACTCTTGTCTAATACCTTGACCTCATCAGACTCTTTCATGTATCACAGTTTGTGAATTCAGCGATTTGATTGGATTGTAAGCTTGTGAATACAGCCAATCAGAGCACTTGATAGAATGATTTACTGATAGTTCTTTTCGCAAATTATAGACACCTTTTCCTTATTTGCAGTCACATCAGACATCAGGTATTCATTATGAAAAGTGATACAGATGGCTTAAGAAATACTTTAAAAATCAGACTGTTCCTTTAATTCATTCCAGATTAAAGATTTTAAGTTGAAACAGTCGTGGAAGAAAGTGTATGCTAAAGATAGTGAGAGTGAGGTTGGCAATTTACGCACACAACATAAAAACGATGAAGAAGAAACAGAAGTTGATCCCGAAGAGCAAGTTGATGGTAAGTTTACCCTGAAGATTAGGAAGATTAGACCTTATTCACGCGTCCGCCATATTGAATCCAGAACGAGGCTCATAAAACAAACAAATGTAACGTGGTGTCACTGCAATATACCTTATTCATGCGTCCACCATATTGAATCCAGAACGAGGCTCATAAAACAAACAAATGTAATGTGGTGTCACTGCAATATACCTTATTCATGCGTTCGCCATATTGGATTCAGAACGAGGCTCATAAAACAAACAAATGTAACAAGCGTGTCACTGCAATAGACCTTATTCATGCGTCCGCCATATTGGATTCAGAACGAGGCTTGTAACGGAAACAAACCAAGGTAAAGTTGTGTCACTGCACGCCACCTTGATGTCTTAAAGCCCCCTTCTCCAGTCCTAGTAACTCAAAACTAATCATATTTGACATCATTAAAATCAGAATTCATTAAGCTATTTAATGATACTTTCAGATGAAGTTTTCCGTCACGTATTTCTGAGAAAGGGCAGATTTAATCCCATTTTCTCACTGTTGATCGGGTGTTTAGTGACGTCAAATTGGCTATTCATTCATATGTCATCACCATCTTATTGATCTTTCCTGGATTATCTGTACCCATTTACATCTGGGTCAAATGTAATTATGAGTAAAGATGACTATTTCAGGATATCGCTATGGTAACACCCTGGTTCCAATGTCATCAGATGATAAAGAAAATATGAAATACAGAGCTGTTAAATGTCTGAAGATTCTAGGCTTCACTAAATCAGAAAATGTAAGTTTTCAATATTATATTGTGTACAAACTAGAACCCTATTTGTCTTAACTTCCTAGAGACCATGGTGGTGCTTGATTGAAGAATTCTGAACAGGTTCCATCTGATGAAAGCAAAATATGTCACATTCTAAATCTTCCCATCCTTTAATCCCGAATGTGCAGGCCCCCATGGTTCAACTTAATTTCTTATCGTCCAATCAAATTTCATGGTGGAAATATTCTAGAATTTTCAACCAATCAAATAGGACCCTTTGACTGAACTTGTTCATTTTGGTGAAAACTAATTCCATCAGACCCAGAAGCCTTTTGTCCTCTATGTGCAAGGGTATTCGCCTCTGATCTACCAACTACATGTATGTAATTAATCATACGCGAAGACATAATCTAGCCAATGACTGTCAGGAAATATCTTTTCTGGGAATACCCTGTTGCTATTTTAAGAGCCGTAGAGCATGTTTGAACGCAAAGAATCTCTCAATTGTCCTTATTTGTTGATTCTGTATCCAAATAAATGAGCCAATGAAATGAAAATTTCAGAGAGTCCACGTTCATCTATTTCAGATTAAAAGACATCATTATTTAGGAGATGGTACTATAGCTTTTGTTGCTGATAAAGGTGATGAGGTGAGTTTGGGAAGTTTGTGAAATGTGGTTACCTGATTTTATGATCAGAAACCAATGCTGTATAATTGATTAAGCACGCACCCCATTGTTAGCCTAGAGAAAAGCTAAAGTCTCCATGTAATGCTCTATATAATACTGATTCTATTCCAGGCTGCAGCTGTAGCTCTATCAGCTCTGATCAATGCTCTATATAATACTGATTCTATTCCAGGCTGCAGCTGTAGCTCTATCAGCTCTGATAAATGCTCTATATAATACCGATTCTATTCCAGGCTGCAGCTGTAGCTCTATCAGCTCTGATCAATGCTCTATATAATACTGATTCTATTCCAGGCTGCAGCTGTAGCTCTATCAGCTCTGATCAATGCTCTATATAATACCGATTCTATTCCAGGCTGCAGCTGTAGCTCTATCAGCTCTGATCAATGCTCTATATAATACTGATTCTATTCCAGGCTGTAGCTGTAGCTCTATCAGCTCTGATCAATGCTCTATATGATACTGATTCTATTCCAGGCTGCAGCTGTAGCTCTATCAGCTCTGATCAATGCTCTATATAATACTGATTCTATTCCAGGCTGCAGCTGTAGCTCTATCAGCTCTGATCAATGCTCTATATGATACTGATTCTATTCCAGGCTGCAGCTGTAGCTCTATCAGCTCTGATCAATGCTCTATATAATACTGATTCTATTCCAGGCTGGAGCTCTATCAGCTCTGATCAATGCTCTATATGATACTGATTCTATTCCAGGCTGCAGCTGTAGCTCTATCAGCTCTGATCAATGCTCTATATGATACTGATTCTATTCCAGGCTGCAGCTGTAGCTCTATCAGCTCTGATCAATGCTCTATATGATACTGATTCTATTCCAGGCTGCAGCTGTAGCTCTATCAGCTCTGATAAATGCTCTATATGATACTGATTCTATTCCAGGCTGCAGCTGTAGCTCTATCAGCTCTGATAAATGCTCTATATGAAACAGACTCAGTTATGGTGCAG